CCCGAGGCCCGGGGTGCCTGCTGTGTCTGGGGTCTCCACCTCGCCCCACCACCCGTGCGCCGCCCAGGCAGAGACGCACCCCTGGGCTTGCCCAGCACCTGCCCCAGGTGTCCTCCTCCGAGCCTCCCCAGGGGAACTGTGGCTTCCACCTCGCATGTCTGGGACACTGAGCCAATCCCTGAAGAGGCCACAGCACCCAACAGCCGGGCAGAGCCAGGGTATCCTTGGGGATATGGTGAAGCAGGAGACTGGGGTCTCCATCAAAAGCTCTCTCCTTGCTCTATGTGGCAGGAGCCCCAGTGGGGACCCCAGCGGTGCTGCTGAGGCCTGGCCACTGCAGGAGACATGTGGGCCTGTCTCGAGTCCAGTCTCCAATCTGGGCTGAGGAGCTGGGGCATCTGCCAGGCATGCCCAGGGCTGAGTGGGTGCTGGGAGGGTGGGGGCATGAGCCTGGCAGCTGGGAGGCCCTCAGGGTGAGGCTGTCAGGCTGCGGTCACCAGGGGCTCGGATGCGCTCTCGGGGGCGGCGCTCCCTCCCGCTGGCCGCCGGAGAACCAGGCTTGTCTGGATGGAAGGGCCCCTCCGCACTGGCATTTGACTCGAGCTCTGGGTGAAGAGTCAGCGTGGTGGTGGGGGCGCGACGAGAGGACCGATGTACCCGGAGCGGCGCCCGCATGCTCAGCCTGGCACTACGCGTCAGCACTCCTGCCTGTCCTATCTCTGCTTGGCAGGGATGAGGCCATGGCCGATCCCACAATTCCAAGGCTAGGGCAGAGGGCACATGCTTGCAGGGGTGTCTGGGGCCAGTCCTGGGATGGGGCCCCAGTTCTCCCTGCAGGGGAGACATTAACCCTCCTGTGCCATGGGTGCTGGCCTGTGTCCACGAGGCTCAGCAGTGGGACACATGTTCCGAGGTCCCAGTTCCACGCCAGCACTCTGCCTGCCACCGGCCACACCCCCCGCGGCATTCCAGCAGGAGCCCTGGGGGATGCCCCCTCCACCTCACTCCAGCCCCTTACATGTGAAGATGGGGCACTCAATCAGCTGCACCAGCTTGTCCACCTCTGTGAGGAAATCCACAGTCACCTCCAGGTCCCCACTGAGCGGACAGTCAAGGAAGTGACCACGGGCCCAATGTAGCTGGGCGGAGCACACCCTGAACGGTGGCAGAGGGGGCCCAGGGCTGGACCTGCTGCTAGAGCTCAGCCTGGACCCTCAAGATCCTGCTTCTGCCCGAGCAGACCGGGCCTATGAAGGACACCAGTCTGTTCTCCCCTCTGCTTTCTTGCTTCTGTGTGAAAAGTGGCTCCTGCGTGGACACTGGGTCTGCTTCTGTGGCATCCTCTAGGCTCTGTGTGACTCTCATCAAGGCCCTGCAGTCAGTGGGGGGAGGGCTGGGCAGGAGGCCCCTGGTGCTGCCTGAGTGGACGCTGGTCAGCAGGGCCAACACCAGGGCCGTGTGGGGCCAGTGGGGGGGGTTGCAGCCTGTGGTCTCTGGGTCACTGCAGAGGTTGTGAGGAGCAGCTCTTGGTTCTGGGTGTGGGAGCAGAGCAGGCACCTGGAAGGAGCCGGCCACAGCTGATCCTCACCAAGGACCTCGGGGCTCGGCTCTCCCGACCCCCAACTCCTGGCTCACCAAGGAAGCCACCAACTTTGCGCCCTGGCTAGTGCTGCAAGCAAGGCCCACACACCAGACATTCACTGCAGAGGCTGGTTTGCCTCAGTGTTTAAACAACATCTGATGCGGTGCCTTTCTCTAAGGCAGGCCCTGATGTGTGCCGCAGCGGGGAGCAGGGGTGTCTTCCCTCTTCCTGAGGCCTCCAGCCAGCCAGTTTCCCCCTGTGTATCATCTGCCAGCCTGCGGGGCTCTGGATGTGAGAGCCGAAGGCTGAACTCCTCATGAGCTCTGACGCACCTGACGCGTGAGCTCCAGCTCCAGATCGCACCGAGGCCTCCCCACCATCACCCGGCCTCTCTACTCCCAGGCATTGGACGCGGCCCCCAGAGCTGGGTCTGGCTTGAAGGTGGACAGCAGTGTCTGCAGAAGCAGAGAGCACCCCACCTCTTTCCTGGGTACCACACTTAGAAGGAACCACAAACCCCTAATCAGCACTCCCGGGCTGGGCCAGCTCAGCCCAGTCACCAGCTCACGGGTCGCTCCAGTGCCAGCCCCTTCACCAGGCCCCACCTGACCCTGCCTGAGCCAACAGCGCTCTCTCCAGAACACCCCTGCTTGTGCTGAAGGATACAACTTCTGGATGAGGTCGTAGGCGTGCCGGTAGTTCTGGGTGAGGAAGCAGAGGGACACGGTGGTGACTGGGTTGTGGCACCAGGAGCGGTAGAGGCAACAGAACAGGTTCTGGCTCTCCTGAGGGGAGAGAGAGGGAGCAGTGAGCATGAGCCTGAAGGGCCCAGTCCCAGATCTCCATCCTCAGAGCAGCGGGAGCCAGCTCAGCACCCAAGCTGCACTTGGCAGCCCAGCTGGGAAGGAGCTGTCACAAAGGAAACGCTGACAGCGCCGCTCAGACCCTGTCATTACCTCCAGCCCCACATGCCACGTGGTGGTGGCAGCGACGGCCTGGCGGGAGGGAGCCTCTCCTCTGGGCTGGCGTCTCTGCCCTCAGCCAACAGGGACAATTGTCCTTTCCAGAACCCTGCGGTCCTGGGGGAGGGGGCAGCCCCCCGGCAGGCAGCGTGTCCTCTCGTCCCCACAGGCCACCGTCCCTGCCCTCCCGCCCCTCCCACTCACTGGAACTCACTGTCCCTGGAGCCTGCAGGGAGCGACCCACACTCGGGGAGCCCCTGCCCAAGGGAAATTCTTAAGGCCTCTGCGAATGTCTGGAAGGAACCACAGCCGCTTGGCCCCACACGCCCTCAGACTGGGGCCTGGATGTCCTGAGAGCCCCCTGGGCCCGGCGCACCCCCCTTCCCGGGGCAGAGCGAGGCCTCAGACCTACTCCCCGCCCTGCTCTCTAGGGCTGCAGGCTGAGCGCCTCCCTGCTCTCTCAGAAGCCCTGTGGGTCTTCACCACAGCCTGGGGCAGGCGGCACCATGCCCCCGACTTAGAACGGGGCGCCCCGCAGGACAGCGTCTGAGCCGGGGGAGAGAAGGGCCGGGCCAAGGCCAGTATTAGCGCTGACCGTGGCTGAGCCACCCCCGGAGGCCCCACGCAGCTGGCAGCCTGTGCACGGGGGCAGCAGGCCGGGCCACGCCCCGGTGTACCAGAGTCCTCAGGTCCTTGAGCTGGCTCCTGAGCTGGAAGAGCTCGGAGGAGGTGAGCAGGATGGTGTTGAGGGTGTGCACCATGGTGGAGGCGAACTTGAGGTCCTCCTCTCGCAGCAGGATGTCGGCCATCGAGTGGAAGATGTTCTCGGCGTTCAGCAGGAGGCACAGCTGCCTGGAAGACCGGGGGACAGGGGTCACGGCCCGGGTCCGGGGCCTCTGGTATTCAGTCAGGGGCCCTGTCCTGGTGGGCAGCCCTGAGGGAAGCTGCTCTCTCTTGGGGCTGCAGCTGGACCCGCCTCTGGGGACCCAGGGTGATATTGGGCCTGAGCCCTCCAATAACGTGCACCTCCAGAGCCCCACAGCCTTAACACCCACCATGCCCAGCCCATAACACAGAATTCGCAGACACACTGTGGGACTCTGGCTACTAAAGTCCTTACAAGAGGACTATCCAGTATCTGCACTTTTCACAACCAAGTGGCCCCCAATACAAAGACACTGTGGGTCCCTCCCCACACTGACCCTCCAGATGGGACTTATCTTCGTGTGATAGATAACACCACACCGGCCAGGAGTGCACTGACCCTCCGCCACTCCACTTCCCTGAGGAGCAGCCTGAACTCAGTGAGGGAGGGTCACGCCCCCCAAATGGGTGGGAATCAGCTGCCTCGCTCCAGGAGATGATCTCCTCCTGGGCGAGCTCACATGGCTGAATGAGGAGGCATTTTTCATGGTCCACCTTCGGGGGCGTGCTGGGCTGCCCGTGGAGCTCATGCAGGGGAGCAGGGGGAACAGGGGAGCAGTGGGGAGCAGGGCTCTGGCAGCCCAGAGGGCGGGGCTTCCGGCTGCGCGTGGGGCTGCAGAGTTCCAGATCTGACAATGGAAACATGCATCTTACAAATGAGAGGATCAACAGCCGGGAAACGATATTTTTAGCCGCTGCGGCTCTTTGCTTCAAAGGCGTAGGCCTCATCTAGAACCAGGCGGCCTCCTCCAGAGTCTGCCTGTTTGGGGTGATTAGCATAATACGAGCACAGAGCAGGCCAAGCGCTGCTCAGGCAGGGCGCTACTCCAGGGAGGCTGAGCGCAGGAGGGCATCCTCTCAATGGAGGCGCAGCCCGTGTTCCCCCAGAGTGGGGGCCTCCTCTCTCAGGGCGGGGTGTCGGGGCGCCCCCCACGCAGAGAGGTGAGCATCCCTCTCGCTGGGCGGGGCAGGCCCCTGGCTGCTGCTCCCGAAGCCAGTCTGCCTCATGCAGACACCTCCAAGGCCGGGCGCAGAGGGTCTCGGGCTGCTTTCTGGGTGGCCGTTGAGGGTGGGGCAGGGCGAGGTCAAGGCCAAGGAGGAGGGAGCCTGGGAGCCGCCAGCAGTGGAGGCACAATCACAGCAGATCGGCTGCCAGGGGGGCCCTCGGGGGGCCTGCCCGGGGCTCTGAGAGCAGTGACCCCCGCCAGGCGTCGCCTCTGCCCGCCCGCCCGGCCCTCAGCCCCACACGGGTCCAGGCCCATGGTCCTGCTCCCTTCCTGACCGGCCTCTGTGGCCTGGCCCCTCTCCCGGTGTCCTGCAGGGCCTGGGGGCTGTGTGTGATGGCCCAGCAGCCCGTGGTCGGCCCAGGGGGACCGAGCATCTGAAGAGAGGCTGGAACTTTTCTCAAACACCACAAAAATGAAATGAAAGCTGCGGCCTTCCAAGAGCTGTAATTACAGATACTCATCTC